CCCAGTGCCCATTCCCAGTGCTCCCAGTACCCCCAGTGCCCATTCCCAGTGCTCCCAGTGCCCGTTCCCAGTGCTCCCAGTGCTCCCAGTGCTCCCAGTGCCCGTTCCCAGTGCTCCCAGTACCCCCAGTGCCCCCGGTGAGCGGCTCTCTGTCCCTTGCTGCCGCAGTGACACGGAGGCGCAGTGCGAGGTCATGCAGGAGATCGTGGATCAGGTCCTGGAGGTAACGGGGCAGGGAGCGGCCGGGAGCCGGGATCTGTCCTGGCGGGATCCGGGATCGTTCCTGGGGGGATTTGGAATCCATCCCCGCTGGGATTCGGGATCTGTCCTGGGGGGATCCGGGATCGTTCCTGGGGGGATTTGGGATCCATCCCCGCTGGGATTCGGGATCTGTCCTGGCGGGATCCGGGATCGTTCTGGGGAGATTTGGGATCCATCCCCGCTGGGATTCGGGATCTGTCCCAGCTGGAATTTGGGATCTGGCCTGGCAGGATCTGGGATCCATCTTGGGGGGGATTTGGGAACTGTCCCAGCTGGCATTTGGGATCCATCCTGGTTGGGATTTGGGATCCATCCTGGCTAGGATTTGGGATCTGTCCCAGCTGGGATCCAGGATCCATCCTGGGCAGGATTTGGGATCTGTCCTGGTGGGATTTGGGATCCATCCCGGGCAGGATCCGGGCCCATCCCGGGCAGGATTTGGGATCCATCCCAGGACCCGGGCCCATCCCGGGCAGGATTTGGGATCCATCCCAGGATTTGGGATCCATCCCAGGACCCGGGCCCATCCTGGGCAGGATTCGGGATCCATCCCAGGATTCGGGATCCATCCCAGGACCCGGGCCCATCCTGGGCAGGATTTGGGATCCACCCCGGGCAGGATTCAGGACCCATCCCAGGATTTGGGATCCATCCCAGGATTTGGGATCCATCCCAGGACCCGGGCCCATCCCGGGCAGGATTCAGGACCCATCCCAGGATTCAGGACCCATCCCAGGATTTGGGATCCATCCCAGGACCCGGGCCCATCCCGGGCAGGATTCAGGACCCATCCTGGGCAGGATTTGGGATCCATCCCAGGACCCGGGATCCATCCCAGGACCCGGGCCCATCCCGGGCAGGGTCTGAGCTCTCCCGCTCCCGTTCCCAGGAGGATTTCGACTCGGAGCAGCTCTCGGTGCTCGCCTCGTGCCTGCAGGAGCTGTTCAAGGCTCACTTCCGTGGGGAGGTGCTGCCGGAGGAGATCACCGAGGAGTAAGGACCGGGAATATTCCCGGGAATGTTCCCGGGGGTTTCTGCTGGGCTCTCCCGGGCCAGCTCCTTCTCCAGGCTTTGCTGGGAGCTGGGGCTGCTCCGGGATCAGGGCTGGTCCTGGGAAACCCAGAGGGATCCAGGGCTGTTCCCATTCCCAGGAAAACCCAGAGGGAGCCAGGGCTGGTCCCATTCCCAGGAAAACCCAGAGGGATCCAGGGCTGTTCCCATTCCCAGGAAAACCCAGAGGGATCCAGGGCTGTTCCCATTCCCAGGAAAACCCACAGGGATCCAGGGCTGTTCCCATTCCCAGAAAAACCCAGAGGGATCCAGGGCTGGTCCTGGGAAATCCACAGGGATCCAGGGCTGGTTGCATTCCCAGAAAAACCCAGAGGGATCCAGGGCTGTTCCCATTCCCAGAAAAACCCAGAGGGATCCAGGGCTGGTCCTGGGAAATCCACAGGGATCCAGGGCTGTTCCCATTCCCGGGAAATCCACAGGGATCCAGGGCTGTTCTTGTTCCTGGGGAAATCCACAGGGATCCAGGGCTGTTCCCCAGGGCTGTTCCTGTGCCATTCCCAGGAAATCCCAGAGCTCAGTGTGTCCGTCTGTCCGCAGGTCCCTGGAGGAGTCCGTGGGGAAGCCGCTTTACCTGATCTTCCGGTAGGGCCCCAAAATCCTCGGGAATTCCAGCCTCGGGAATTCCAGCCTTGGGAATTCCAGCCTTGGGAATTCTGGGCTTCAGGAATTCTGGGCTTGGGAATTCCAGGCTTGGGAATTCTGAGCCTGGGGAATTCCAGCCTCGGGAATTCCAGGTCTTAGGAATTCCAGCCTCGGGAATTCCAGCCTTGGGAATTCTGAGCCTTGGGAATTCCAGCCTCGGGAATTCCGGCCTCGGCTGCCCCGTGCCCATCCCAGAATCCCACAGAGTTTCCCGCTTCCCTCTGCCGTGTTTTTGGGGAAAGCAGGGATTCTCTTTTGGGATTTTGGGATGGGGGCAGCGGGCGGCGCCGGGGGCCGTTATCCCGCCGACATTCCCGACATTCCCGCCCTTCCCAAGGAACCTGTGCCAGATGCAGGAGGACAACAGCGGCTTCTCGCTGCTGCTGGACCTGCTCTCCGAGCTCTACCAGAAGCAGCCCAAGATCGGCTACCACCTGCTCTACTACCTGCGGGCCAGGTGGGCACGGGGCACGGCCCTCACCTGGGCACNCCAGGATTTGGGATCCATCCCAGGACCCGGGCCCATCCCGGGCAGGATTTGGGATCCATCCCAGGACCCGGGCCCATCCCGGGCAGGATTTGGGACCCATCCCAGGATTTGGGATCCATCCCAGGATTTGGGATCCATCCCAGGGCCCGGGCCCATCCCGGGCAGGATTCAGGACCCATCCCAGGATTTGGGACCCATCCCAGGATTCAGGACCCATCCCAGGATTTGGGATCCATCCCAGGATTTGGGATCCATCCCAGGACCCGGGCCCATCCCGGGCAGGATTCAGGACCCATCCCAGGATTCAGGACCCATCCCAGGATTTGGGATCCATCCCAGGACCCGGGCCCATCCCGGGCAGGATTCAGGACCCATCCTGGGCAGGATTTGGGATCCATCCCAGGACCCGGGATCCATCCCAGGACCCGGGCCCATCCCGGGCAGGGTCTGAGCTCTCCCGCTCCCGTTCCCAGGAGGATTTCGACTCGGAGCAGCTCTCGGTGCTCGCCTCGTGCCTGCAGGAGCTGTTCAAGGCTCACTTCCGCGGGGAGGTGCTGCCGGAGGAGATCACCGAGGAGTAAGGACCGGGAATATTCCCGGGAATGTTCCCGGGGGTTTCTGCTGGGCTCTCCCGGGCCAGCTCCTTCTCCAGGCTTTGCTGGGAGCTGGGGCTGCTCCGGGATCAGGGCTGGTCCTGGGAAACCCA